CCGCACTTGGATTCAATGTTAGTCAAAGGTCTCGGTCGTCATCGATAAAGGAAGAAAAAACTTACCAAACGATTCGAACATTGAGGCTTGAATGTTTGGAATAGAGTAAGCTCAGAATGTACAGCGGTTGCGAAACCGGTAGCGTCTTGTAACTGGACCCATGCCATTCGGACTTTGCGATCCGTGAGAGTATTTGGGAGGGAAAAGTTTCCTGGGCCGCTGATTATGCGTCGCAGAACAGGACGGTGCATCGAGTTGAAACGGATAGTATCGACAATTGAAACGATACCGTCAAGCATCCCCGGATATTTCTTCCCGTGAGCGGCGCTGCGAATGAGGAGAGGTAAGAGATCATATCGCATCGCATGGACCATCCACGCATGTCCTACTGCGGCATGACGTGCGTAAAGAGCCAGGAATCCTATAACCAATGTGACCGACTCGTCGATCTCGTTCAAGTCGGAGCCCTTTGACATAACCCCGCTATGGGATGCCGAAGCACTATCAAGAAAAAAAGATAACGCTTCGCAGATGTAGGAGGCGACCAGTTTGGATGGGAAATCCCGGTAAAGCGTTGGATTTCTGTGACATATTTGAATATGCAACCTTTGAAGGGGTCGAAAAGTTGAAGCCCATACGGGACCACCGCGGATGGACATGAACAGGGGTTGGAAGAACGCTTTAGCAGCCGCCTCGTTGTGAAATCCGAGCACGTCCCGTATTTCGGTGACTTCTGAGGTGGGACAGGAAAGTAAGTGGAGGAATGCTAAGCTGGCGTCCCGCATTCTAGAGACAAGGTCCTCATCCGACGGCGGGTGCTTCCCAAGATAAAGATACACATCGGTCATGAGGGCAACATTTCCACTGGTAGATACGATCTTGGGATTGATGGGAGGCTGGAGCAAGGTCGACATGATGGATTCTATCATCGTAGCCATGCTGTAGTTTTCGTGAGTCTTGTCCCAAACTTCCGCAACGACTAGTCGGCGATATAGAACGTTCATCCATGGCCACATTGTTTGCCATTCTGACTCAAATTTACCCTTCAACAATTGTTTACTCCCCATGCAGAAGGCTAGGTAGAGTCCCCGAAGTGCGAATATCTGGGCACGGGCGTTATCGAATGAGACGGTCCCAGTAGGAGGAGTTTTGAACTGTTGAAAGTAAAAGTCGAGAAAAAGATGGAACGTGCAGTAACCTTGGTATTCAGGAGATTGAAGGCGTTCGAAGAGGTCGCGTAAATATCGCGAGGGGTCTTGACGCGCCTTCCGTAGAAGTTGCTATCATAATGATGAATTAGGATTAAGTAGGAAAGGAACCCAGACATACCTGTAATTCCTCCGGCAGACATTCGAGTAAAAAGTTCCCAGTATCCATGCGTGCGGGAATACGTGGTGGTGGTGGTGGTTTGAGATCAAGGTTTCGGGTTGATGTTGACAAAGCACGATCAATCATGCATCAAGAATTAGGGGTATGTTACATTATGAAGATGATGGCCACGAACATTCGTCAGCCTACGAAATAT